AAGTACAAGTAAACATTCTGCAAAGAGCTTTGAGGGTGAAAAGCTCAATAGGACATTTATTATTCCTAACAGGGTTTCTGTTTCATTCAGGCATATATCTTTCATAAGAAGCTGAGTCTCTGTTTTGCTGACATAATCCAGAAAGTACACCCTGAGGCATGTTAATAGCAATGTGTCTCCACATCTCAACAACTGTGAACTCTTTGCCACCAGCAGCAACTGTGCTGACAATGGGATGACACTGTAAAAGGGTTGTATGCTGTGACATGAATCCTTTCAAGCCCAATGACTCTTGATTTCTAGCCTCATAATCACTATGAATCAAACTTATTCCTTCCCGCTACCCCCATATTCAACCTGTGTCTGAGTAGCTCAGGAAAATGTATTCTACCTCACTTTTGGGTGGCTGCTATTCCAGCCTGCATGAGTGTGTTCAACTGTGGCTTTTTAGCCTTTAGTCAGGCTGCCCTGAACATACCTTTGTATGGCGATTTAGAGGTTTCAGTATAGTAGAAAAGGCTCCATCACTGCTGCAGTTTCTCAGCAACTAAAGCCCGGCAGCATTATTCTCTGATTATAATTATCCAAATGATTTAATAGGCAAGATGTTAAAAAAAAAGCTCTAAATTCTGCATCATTGCAACTGACAACAATCAATCTCACAACAAATTTCCTATATTCTTCTTTACTCCTTTTATGATAAAAAGTGAACTAAATCTAGATCTGCTGCAGGGCATACACTGACTTTAAAAAAGAACCACTAACATTGATTTGGTCCCTAAATGCAATTAGCTCATATTTGGAGGCAGTAGAGTATTCTTTCCTGAAAGTGTGAGTAATCATTTCTGCTAAATGTGTGCAAGAGGGGATACGTTCCCTGGTGGAGGCTGTGGCATACAGATCCCATGACGGTTCTGTTGTGGGTGCCAATACTGTTCAAAAGAGGACAGCAATCTTCTGAAACTTGTCTGAGGACAACACAAGTAGATACAGAGGCAAATAATCAAAGCAATCAAACAGTTCTCCCTGAACAGTTGTCAAGACCACCAATATATACGTCCTGTGCCATGGGTTTGTGGTGGTGCGCATGATATGCATGCACCATAGCAACTAGATATTAATCATCAATGCATACAGGCCCATGTTGTGGTAAGTCTTTAGAGGTGCAAGTTGTAGACTGCATCTGGTATACGAAACATGCCTCAACGGTACCAGTTTCAGTGTTACCTCCAGCAGCACTGCATAGTTGAATTCATTACAGTTGGGCTTACATCTTCCTCAGAAGGAACTGAATTTTAGGCCCAGCATAAAAATGCCTGGGCATGAAGAACAACTTCTCTTCTAGTTCTGTGCCCCTCTTTATTTGTAATTTTCAGTTAAACACCCTGGGCAAGTTCTTTGCTGGTGAGACACCAGTGACTGAAGTGGCACTATGCCAGCCCAGCATTTGGCACTGCATCCTCAGAGTGATGGCAGGGATTTTCAGAAGAGCTCAATCAAGAAGGTTAGGCGTCCAATTCCTCTTATGCTTGGACACTAGCCTCTTGTCAGCTCATCACGATTTCTGCAATGCCACTGATGACCAAGGCAGGCTTTTCCCATTTGCCAGCAACCTGGAAATAGTTAGCAGACAATTTAGTGCCACAAAAGTCTCTGTTTCAGCAATTTGCTTTATTTACGTAGATTTTAATTTGAAGATGACATACCAGTAAAGTGCACCTATACCAATTGGAGTACCGAGAAGAGTTTGGCATGAATTTTCAATGGTGAAGGTGATTCAACACTGGAACAGACATGTATTCTCTTTCTTGCTGGTGTCTTTAAATTGGGGCTGGATGTCCTCTAGCCACCTGGATGGTGCTTTTTGATGGTTCTGCGCTCAGAACAGCTCAGTGAAATGTAATGATCGTGATATATATACCAGGCTATGGAGTTTCTTCTGGCCTGATTATTGCACAAGGAAGTTACTATCTGCAAAGGAAATGTGCGTCCCTATAGAGCAACACCAGGCCATAGGAATGTTGGTCAAAGCTGGAAGTACATGCTGCAAGGTTATGAACAGCTATTGATCATAAGGGGCTCAAAGGGTTCAGTTACTGGGAATTTCTGACCCTCTCTGGAATTTTTACTTGGTCTTTAGATCCTACTGGTGTCAGGGTTTCACAGGCATTGGAGGGTAGGCTTCCAGTGTTCTTTGTTAGGAAATAAGAAAACAATATTTTTTTTCATGGTGATAACAAGCATTTATATAGCAGAGGGATCCTGGCATCTGTGGGGTTTTCTGTGGAAAATACACCAAAGATGATCATGTTTAAAGTGCAAGTGATAAAAAACACACGAAGGCATCACACAAAATAGGTCAGATGCAAAAAAACTCCCTATGAAATTGGAGAGGGGAATGTAGGCAAGTGGGGTATTGTTATCTGAGCTGGAATTTAATCAAGATTCAATTATGAGGTGATGTGGTACTTCAGTGGTGGGATCACCGCCTCAACAAAGCACTGCTAGATTCTGCCTGTCTTTTCACAGATGTCAGGTGTGCACTGGTATAACTTGTCCAACCTCAACAGAGCTGATCCTGATGTACACAAGGACACTCATATTCAGATTTCCCAGCTCTCCCCCTCCTCTTCCCCTCCAGGTCTCTCTGCTCGTGTCATGTGGAATGGCAGAAGTTCAGGTGTGGATCAGAGAAACTTTGAAATGGAAAATCAGAGAATACCGCAGGTCATATTGAAGAGGGGCTGGCAAAGCTTAGGACCGGGATAACAGAGTGGTGAGGGTTAGGACGAAGGTACATTGGTAGGCTTGTATGGGGTGTTGCGTTTGGAGTTCCAGAGAGATCTGCAAGCCAAGAATAATGAATACTGGCAGAGCTCCGTGTGAGTAACAAATGGCTTATCCTGCCTAGGCAAATGACAAAATGTTACGTACTGGCATTTTTTAAATGGATTTTTTTTTTTTTTTTTTTTTTTAAGAAAGATTAAAGCAACCGCTATAGCTAAACACGCTGCTTTGCTCTGATAAGATGCCAGAATTGTATGACTTCTACTTTGTAACAAGGTTCTTCATGTGGGTGTAGCAGCCCCTCCTCATACCTAGCGGATACACTCTAGGGAATTTTTACAACAGTGAGTATTGCCTCTTGTAAGGTCACTGAGTAAGAAAGTTAACAATGTTCTATGAAGAATTGCATGCCTTGAGTGTTTCCATCAGAGCACCACAGAAGAGTCTGATGAAAAGGTTATTGCACTGTTATGTGCACAGCAATGACCTCCCATGCATATTGTTCTATAAAATGTTGGGCCTCTGCCCTGCCATGCCCTCCATCAAAGTAATGCCCGTAACTTAAAAATGGAGGACTTGATGTAAATTCAAGTCAGTCCAGTTCACAAAACACCTCTGTCTCTCAGCAGGTAGACAGAGGCTAGGCATTGCCTATATTGCTCAGGGTCTACATCTTGCTGCTGTTGTGCTATCATGGTACTGCTCTCTCTTTAACTCCTGATCAGAAAAACATGTGTTCAGAGGCTGGGCCCTGTTGGTGATGCATCTTCATTTTCTTCCTGTTCCACATTTGGAGCCTTATTGTGCGATGTAACACTCACTTTCTTCTCAAGCCTCTCATTGTCAAGTGCCTGGTTATGCTCAGACATACTGGGACCTACATGCAGCCTAGAAGGAGATGCCAAACTTGATCTTGGGATGGTTTTCCAGGTGCAAGGTATGTATTACCAAAGACCCCAAGCACATCACCTCCACAGCAAGGTCTCCAGGCTTTACTAGGTGACATAGGGCAATTGGCTCTGCAGTTGGGTAAGCAGGACAACATCTTCAGGGACGGATAGCTTCTGCGCTTGTGGGTTAGCCATGCTTTGAGCCCCGGCACGGGGGCGACAAGAGGACCTACACTGTCTGAGACGCGACTCGTTTCTACAGCAGCCTTGGCCCAGGAGTGCCGAACCGAGGGAAAACGGCACATGGACCGTGAGGTAACTTCCTACGCCAAATTTACTTCCTCGGTGGCCTGACCCGGCCGCAGGGCTCCGCAGTGTGTGCCAATGCCAGCGCCAGGCCGGGGACGCCCAGCAGGGCAGTGGGGCGGGCGAAGGGGCAATCAGCGCGGGCCCTCGGCGAGTGCCGGACGCACTGGCGGGTCGTCTCCCGCAGCCCCGCCGGGGCTCCTTGGCACCCGCGCACCCCGTCAGCCGGTGAAGGACCGGAGCAGCGGACGCTCCAGGTGCCGCAGACACGCGGAAAGAGTCCCCCCCCCTCTCTGGACAGCCGGCACCACCGCGCCGCCCGGGGCCAACCTGCGCCGCCTGCCTCACGCCCGGGAGCGCTGGCAGGGCGGGGCGGGGCGGATGGCCCTGCCTCCCCGCCATTGGCTGCGGCCAGCAGCGGCCGCGCTTAGATAGGTCCGCGCAGCAGTCAGTGGCGCCGGGCCCCGCCCCGCCCCGGCTTTATAACGGGCATCCCCATGGCCGAGGCGGGTAACCTGCCGCAGCGGGAGAGGGCAGAGACACCCGAGTGGGCCGGGGGCACCGTGCTCGCCGCCCGCCAACGGACACGCCACTGCCGGGCCGAGGAGCGGCTGCCCGGGAGAGCTGTCTGCGGTGGACGCAAAACCCTGCCGCTGTCCCGCTGCTGCCGCACCGAGGGACGATGGTGTCGCGGGCCTGGCGCTGTGCGGGGGCTCGCCCGTTCCTGCTGGCGCTGCTGCTCGTGCATCTGCCTCAGGGTCGCGGCCACCGAGCCACTGGGCCTCGGGTAAGTGAGGGCGGCGGGGCTGCCCCGCCGCGGCAGGTTGTCCTGCGCCCGCCCCGCGCACTGTCAGCGCCGCAGGTGAAGCCCCGGGTGCGCCCCGGACCGGCTTCCGTGGACGCGGACCCTTGCAGGGGCCTCCCCGCTCGGTCGGAGCCGGGTGCCAGCGGACTGCACGAAGGGTCTGCACCGGAGCGACTTGTTGGTATTTACTGCAGGGGTAAAAAAGGAGGGTGTGTTTTTATGTTGCTGGTCTTGCATTTGATGTAGCCCCTGTTCCCAGCACATAGCTTTAGGACTTTCCTTTTTTTTATGTTCTCAAGTAGGGATTAAATGAGTCCCAGCAATAAAGCTGGATGCCTTCAGCCCAGACTTCTCCCCGTAGGAGTCTAGCTCTGCTTTTTTAATCTGACAGTGTTTGACTTACTGGGGCTGTTAATTTCACTTACCCAACTATTACATTGCTCTGGGGGAGAACCTAACATCTTTTCTAAATATGGTCCTCCCAGTGAGCTAATGTTACCGCTGCAGCACCACGACAGAGGAGCACAAGAGCTTTCAATTATAAAGCTGCAAAACAGTAGCTGTTCTTCAGCCAATGCTGCAATAAAAGCACAGCTCTGGGTAAGCGGAAAAACTTGATCTCTCTGCAGGCGTGTTGGATGCATTGACCATGTGCATTCTTAACCCATCAGTCTGAAACGCTATGAAATGTACCTAATTAACTTACACCATTGATGGGCAAGACCAGGAGTCTTTGGAGTCTCTACTCAGCCGAAGTATAACAATAAGGGACTTTAGTGCAATGTTACAGTTCTTTAATAGAAGTGCTGTTTGACCATGCTGGTTATTAAATGCTTCTCAGAGCTATGGAAAGTGTACTGGCTGCACTGGTGTCCCTGTGTTCAGCTGTGCTGTGCAGCCTCTTTTATAGCCAGATGTGTAACAGCAACTGTTAGAATGTGGCAGATCAGAACTAGTGTGTGCCATAAACTCTTGGAGACCTGTTGTAAAAGATGGAGAAACATAGGGGTGCTTATGCATGCATCTGCATTATCCGATATCAAACCTCAAAGCTGGCATGATGCCAGATAGAGAGGAGCTTTGAGGTGGTAAGTAAGAGTCTGGCTGTATGACTATGGCCCCTTACCAGCACTGGCATCCAAGTGCTTTAATGAAGAGCAACTGAAACAAAGAACAAAATAAAAAAATCCTGTTGGCAGTGCATAATTGCACAATAAGCCTGTCTATCAAACAGTTTCCATGTATGCTGTTTTTATATACTGTACTTTACAAGGCAGTTTAATTGCTCCCTGTGCTGTGTCGTCTTTGGAATGAGAGCTACTTCAGGAGAGTGGAAAACCAAATACAGAGGACTACTGATGTACTTTTTACTTGAAGTAAGTGAACTGACTTTGCTCTTTCTCCCTTTGTGACTGGGGGAGAATATCAGCTGTGAGTGTCAATGTCTACAGTTACGTAGAAGGGTGTGCCTTAAAGTTTTACCTTCTTAAAGTTTTAACTTAAGAGCTCTTAAATGAAAAGCTGTGAACTTCCACAATGTTTAACTCGTGAAGCCTGTCTTCTCTCCCTTCTAAGTGTCATTCTTAAGTGCATGTGAAGGTGGGGAGTATGGTTTACTCATTTGCAACCATGTTGACTGGTATGATAAGCCCCTAAGATTAATCTCCTCTAGTGATTAGACATTGCCAGTAAAGTTGTTGCTAGTATAAAGGTGCCATACTTTAGGTTCAAATGTACACAAGGAAATCCTTTATTATTCAATTTTTATGACTATTACCAAGTTACACCAGTGTTTCTCATGCTGACTTGTGGCCCAGAATCTGTTCTTGTCAGGAACCTTCCCTGGATTGGAGGGGGGGTGGTTGTCAGTGTTGGGGTTTTGGGGTCTGATCCTCTGGGTTTTCAATTGCTAAGTATGATGTTTATGGTTTCAGACTTTTCCTCATGGTAAGCACTAGAACTACAATTTCTGCAAGCTGAAATGCTTTTAAAGGTGAACAGCGGTGTTTTATCCTACTCAAATGAGTTTAAATGAGCATCAACAACACTTAAAGCAGCTTCTTGATCTTTCTCCTTGCATTTCTCCCTTACTTCTGCAGTGTTGCTGATAAGCTGGGCAGCCAGCGTTGTCACTGAATGCATAGGCAGGGGAGTATGGCTTGCTACTGTTTGCAAAAAATGATGAAAAAATAAGGGTATTGAAGAGAAATAAGTATATCTAGATCTCCTGTGACAACAAGGGATCAAACTTTTGGATAAAGTGAGCTAGCTCAAGCTGATTACTTAAATACTGAGGTAGACTACAAGTGCAGTTGTATCTACTGGCCTGCTGGGGTACTTCAGTCACTCAGAAGATGTACAAACGTGTTTCCTGTTACAGTAAACCTACGAGCAGTGACATGAATCCCTTAGACTTGGAAGCATGAGTGACCTGTAGGAAACATCTGGCTTTTGTACCTATGCTGTGGCCCTCTGACAGTTAATAACAGCTGTCCTAAGTAAAGCTCCATATTAAGTCTAATATCATGGATGTCCTAGAAATAACTTGGAAGCCCAGGGCTGTTTTGTGACTCCTTTTCTCACTTGATACACTCTAGAAAAGCTTCTGCTATGTTTCACAATTGCTAGGTCATTTCTACTCTTGTAGGTCTAAAGAGGACTGTGGAAGCAATCAACTGATTATACCTGGAAAATGCCTGTCTGAAGGATGTGGCCTTCTGGAAAGAGATAATCAGGCTTTGCTTTCAATTCATTTTCTATTGTTGAGTGCCTCTGCTAGCATGAAATCTGGAGTTGTGTGACAAGCCAGGTCTTGCTGTTTCCCCTCCTTGACCCCAAAGTGATAGATGGGGACCTTGACTGGGCTGGCTCTTGCACCTCTGACTGTGTGGTGCATTTGAGCAATATTCTTGCATAGCAGATTAAATATTTTGCCATTAAGCTCTGTCCCCCCCCCCCGCCCCCAGCCAAACAATAAATCGTGACCTTTGTCTTTCTAGTTCAGAAAGATAGATCTCTGTAGTGCCCCTGCCTTTTGAGTATAATGCCTGGCCATTATGAACTTGCTCTATTTATGGCAGAGAACTGTTGTTGGTAGTAATGACAAATATTAGTATAGGAAAATGGTGCTTGCAGAAGGAACAGAACAGGACTGCAGCAGTGAAAAGCTGTACTAGGAACTGGCTTGGATTTTTGGAAGATTTGGGATATGTACCTTGCAGTGACTGCAGAGGACTAAGAAATGGGAGGGAAGGGCAGTCACTATAACTGTCTTCCTAGTTTCATGCGTGGAAATGTGCCATATCCCTCCTTGAAATGCATGCTGGTTGGAGATGGAGGGACCTTCCACTTCAGAGCTGTTGTAAAGGGAAGGTAGTAGATAGTAAAACTATGAAGATACCCGCAGATTCCAGTGCATAAACTGGAGTGCCACAGAGCAATGGGAATTCTCTGCTACTAGTTAGAACCCCAAATAAGAACTATGACAAAAGTGCTGAAAAGGCTCCTGCAGCTTTGCCATTCCCTATGGAGGAGCAAAGCAGCATTGCAGCTTGGGTCAAGGCACCTGTGTTCTGCTGTACGTTATCACTGCAGCCCTGCACAGAGATTTCCACAAAGCAGATGTCTTTACACATGCTCTGTTAAAATTAGGGAGATTGTTCTTCATGGTGGGAAGAAATTGGAAAAAGACTTAAGGTAAAAATTTAAAGCAGAGGGCTTCATATGAAGGAGATCTAGAGCAGATAAGTAAAACTTAGGTTTTCAGTGACTCATTTTTGTTTCTTGGTTTGAGCTTTATTATCACTCTGCATTGCAAAAGTCTATACTGCTAAGTAAAATCTGACGCACTTTAATGTTTTAGACTACCTTACTGTTGGTGAGATTTATTTTAATGAAGGATAAGTACCCAAATGCAAGTCTTTAGAAAAGCATCCCCTAACAGGGCAGATCTGTTACTCTATGGCAAAGAGCTTTTGGTTACAGATACACTGTTTTAGTTCAGTGAGAGATGTTCTTGCTTAAATGGAAGCTCTAATTGTACGTAGAGCTATGCTAATTATTTCTCTTTCTCCTTGTTTCTACTTAAACCTTGAATGTTAGACAGCTGAATTCTTTAATACATACCAGAGAAACTGATCTTTCTTTTTATACATTATTCAACTGTGTTGAGGAAAGGCATTAATTCTTGTATGGCAAATTATTAAAACATTATTACAATACATTAGTATTGAAATAGTGGGTCCTGTTCTAAATGGGAAAAACACTATAGGATCCAACTTGCTCTGTGTAGTCTTAGAGTTGGTGTTTTAACTGCCTGAGCTTCTGTGTTGGCTATGAGAATATCTCACTCATGTTAATGATGATCTGCTGCTAATGAAAGATTTCTGGCCACCAAAAGAACTGTTACAGAGAAGGAAACTACTTGCGTATTTCTGCTGGTGGTGGCAGCAAGCTGTTTAGTTGGTGGAACACCTACAGTGATAACCTCTTGGACTAGTTTTCAAGTTTCTAGCACTAGTCATGTGCTAAGGTAATCTTCACTGCCATCAATGCAGAGCAGATGCTGTCTTGGCATCTTTCATTTCCAGATGGCCTGAAGCAATTGGTAAGATGACTGTAAACTTCATTTCAGCGGTATAGTAGCTCTGAAATATTAATACTGCTGTTTAAACATCTTAGATGTTCTTATCCTGCCATCTCAAACTAATTGTGACATTACTATGTCAAAAAAAAACCCAAACAAAACCCCATTTGTCTCCTGCTTGGCTGCTGAATCCCCAGCTCTTCTGGGGCTGGCACATCTGACAGTGTAGTGAAGTGTTGCATAATAAACTTCATGCTCAGATTAAAATCTAAACATGGAAGCAATGCAGGTGAAACTGAAGCTAATCCCCGAAGGCTGTTGTGCTGACTGTCACACTGTCTCTGTGTGACAGCATGATGGTTTCCTGTCAGAGCCCTCCAGCAGCTGCCATGAGGTCCCTGGTGCTGATGCAACATCCAGGGACTTGGTGGCACAGCAGACCTTGAGTCAAGTTTGGTGTGCAGAGGTGGTAGTTCACTGCTTGGTCATCAAGTGAGGTTCTGGCAGAGAAGCAGATGTTATAACTTGCAACTTGAACTATGAAACCTACTTTTTGTTGTGTTACAACTTTAACTACTGTCCTTGCATTGGTAGGGCTTTAGGCTTCCTATGCTTGTTTATGAGAAACACTTCCATTTGTGAAGTTTTTGCCCCAACACTGAAGGCTACCATTGCTGTGGGTGCGTCGCTTCTGCGCTGGAACTTTTCTGGGTAAGGTTTGAGGTCAGTGTGAGGTACTTGCTTACACGATGTGATGAATGTGGTATGTAACTGTCTCCCTCTTCTGACTGGCTCACTTGAGAGGTTAGTATTTGTGTTCAGCAGCTAACATATGAATCCCATGAAGCTTTCTCTGTGTGATGCCTTTACTGCCAATGGCAGCCTGCAGTAACAGCCTTGGTGGAAGGCTGTCCTGCCAGATGTTTCTAGTGCTGGATTCTCTCAGCCAGTTGTATTCTTGTTCTCAGACCAGTGGCCTAGAAGCCCCCATAACCTTCCATAAACACTGTCAGACTCTTCCCTGGCAGTCTTCTGGCTGTAGCCTGCTTGGGAGGACAAGCCTGCGTGTTGGGTTTGTGCATTTTTGCCTCCCACTGGCTTGTGTCTGAGCCAGCTGCTTTTGAGGGCCCACTGACAGGTGTTCTCATTTGGAGTGGCACGTAGCTATGCAGTGGGGAAGTGAATGGTAGGTGTGAAATGAGAGCAAGCTTAGATGCTTCCCCTCAAGGCCTGTGCCTAGAGATGGGAACATAACACTGGTTTCTATAGGAACAGAGGCTGTATCATTAAAGGTTGGCTCAGGGCTTTGTTGAGTGAAGTCTGGCAGCAAAGCCTAGACAAGCTGCCCACCAGTGCTGCTGGCAGACTCTTCCATGCAGGTGAAGGAAGCCATACAGAAACTGCTGTGTGTAGGCAGATAACTTCCTCTTCCATGGACACCCAGACTCTTCTCCTGGGCTGGAGCTGGAGTTCCTGAGGAGACTACTGCCTCTGGATGAAGAACGTGAATGGATGTGAGCAGTGCAATAATATATGGGTGAGTGTCACAGAGTACCATGCTGCTCAGTACCTGAGTACAGACTCAGACCATGTGTCATGGTTCTGCAAACTGGTTGTCTTGCCCCAAATACTGACTTGGAGTGGCTAAGGGGGAAGAAGCAAACTGTATGCATGCACCATTCTTTCTGTGCAAGGCATAAACTGAATTTATTGAGACTGGCCCAGGAGACTAAATGATAGCCCTTGTCGGTCTAGTACTGGATCAAATTTAATTTTAGAGGAGCATTAGCC